AGTCCCAAGCATCAGGTCCTCAGCTGAAGTAAACTGGAACAATTTTGTCAACTTCCATAGTAATATGCAGGGGTCTCACCTTTTCTACCCAAGAGAAACAAGGAGCAGGCAGTGCAGTTAAGAGAAATTATTCTCCCTCTAACCTTAATCTGAAAACTCTTTTATCACAGAACATTTAGTATATCCATACTCACATGTGGGCTTTATTTCAGGTGTTCCTACCTAAACATGTGACCTCTAATGAAGCAGCAGCTATATGTCATATTACGGGCAGGTGATAGATGGAGTTAATCATGCAGCTTTGAGCCATTCCCTCTCTATCCATTAATCCACCTCCTTTGAGAGTTGTTCTAACAGTCCAAACCAGGAATAGGTACAGCCAGAAGAAATGGTTACAACTTTGAAACTTGGATGAGATTTTTAACTTGAAAAGATCCAGGAATGTACATGTGTGAACTCTTGCCCCTTTCCCAACAAACACTAATGAACAGCTTCCAGCTATTGGCATTAAAAATAATCAACCTGTCAGGGGAATGTTTCTCTCCTCAAATAGGGAAGGCTTCCCTCAAGCTTTCTCTCAAATTTATATGTGTTTGATGGTAGCACTTAGTCCTATATTACTGACACGTTTATGGGCTGCTATCTTGAGGGCTGGAAACAAAAATTTCACATCTTTCCAAAAAAGAAAGCTCCCTCTTCACTGCGACATATCATATTAAGCTCTGGCCCTGGGAGGTTCCTATGTACCAGACATCAGTTGTAACATTTTAAGGTACAGAAAACCAACTTAAAATTCCCACTGAAGGACTATATTGATTTTCCCTTCTAAGTGTGATGGTTGTACTTGTCATATGAAGGCATTTGGATTCATAGAAAGAAGGATGTGAAAAGACTCACAACACAGTGAAAATTCATGAGTGTACAAGAGAAACGACAACATAGAACAGACACTCTCAGAAAGCCGATCAGATCTTGGAAGCTAGAGAGCACAGGGCTACTTGTAGAGGTTCCTAGCTCTGCCACTAACCTGAGGTATGTCCTCGAGCATGTCTCTTCACCTTGCTGTGGTTCCATTCCCCATCTGTAAAGTGAAGATAATAACGTGTAACTTTATGAAGTGCTTCAGATTACAAACGCAACATAACTCCTTAGGGTTAGCTTACTGGACACAGAAGTGTGTGAATAACATCGATCATTCATTGTGTCCCTAGGTAAAAATAACGTTACTATTTGTTAAACTCTTTCTGTCACCCCACTTCTGCATCTCTACAGCTGCTAGTTAAAGTGCATTCTCTTTGTAATAAAGAGGTGAAAGAATCAACCTTCCATCTGTACCAAGTACACATAGCACTTTTGAGAACAAATCATTACTTGCAGCAGCAATGGAAGAATAAAGATTTTTAAGATTTGCAGTTGTAGGAAAGAAAGCATTCACTCTAGCAGTTGATAACATACACGCATGCAGAACAAGCAGAACAAAGCCTACCTAGACTACTCGCTCAAGGTCTATGTTAAGAATCTTCACAGTGGGGAATAAAGAGGAAGATTCTCTTCAGACAACTGTTAAATTTAATCTTTGTATGAAGTTGCAGGATAGTCAAGGGACTTAAAAGTTAGTTGTCTATAGCAGTTAAAGGGGAATTTTAGTGACCTACTGTTCTCCCATTAGACTGGAGTCCTGAGGAATAAGTGAATTATAGTATATTGTTGCAATTACTCTCCTAGTATGCACACACATTTTTATTTGCCTGAGAACAGGAGTATGTACTGGGAACCATTATGGCACTATACAACTTCCAGTGATTGAAGGGAGACTTCATTTATTTTAAAATTAGCTTCTAAACTATCCACCTCTTTAATCATAACAAATTTGGAATCTTTTTCTTGACTTTAATAGCTGAACACTTGTCTCCAGATATGTGGGTCATTACTTCCTCATTCTTTGACATAAAGACAACCTGGCAGCCTGTTTGGGTTTTCTTAGGACTTTTTTAAAGATATGCAGATAATCCTCTGCGAAACCATACCAGATCATACCAGCATTTCTCTAAAACTCAGGTCATAGCTCCCGTCAGTGCTTGGTTTTCTAACAGTAGGCAGGAAAAGCTATGATCGAATACCTGGATTGTTATTTTATTTACATATGGCGATGAGTAAAAATCCCAAGCCTGTAGCCTAGATCTCTGTGTACCCTGAAAACCCATTTACAAACCTCTCATTTACGTCTCTTGGACTGCTATTTCAGCCATTTGGTGATGGGATGGAAACCTTCTTTTTCCCAAACATGGCCAAATTGCATTTTTAGCTTTTTCAGTGCTCTCACAGCTCTAGCTCCACTGAAATTATAATGATAGTCTAGATTTCCATTGCTGTGACAGCAAGCAGAGCCTGGCTGCCAGCGTTCAGACAGACTCAACACACTGAAATTTGAATGGAAAATGGGGTAAGAATAGGAGTGAAAGGTGCCTGAATTAATGCTACTGCAGAACACCCTTGGGTAATGCTCTGGGTATAGAAGGAGAGATACTTAGAGATGGGAGAATAATAAAAAATTAAGAGTGAGGCCATATGGAGGGACATTTTCAGGGTTTTTTTTCCTAGATAAACTTCTATGTGGTTTGTCCTAAGTGCAAGATGGCTTACTGAAAGCTATAATATGTTCTTCCCCTACCCTCATGATAAGTTCAGCAACAGAAAAAGATCATACACGTGAAGTGACAAAGTCAAGTACCTAAGTGATCGGAAATGAACTGTTTAAACTAGAGCAAAAGCTGCAATTTGAAGAAGGAAAAGAGCCATATCCTTGGGAACACAATGACAGTTTGTGCCCTTTTAAAATCCTAGAAAACCACGAAGTGCAGATGAGCCAAGAGGTATTTGGG